TGATCTCAAAGACAAGGATTGAGAGGGGAGGGGGAGGGGGAGGAGAGGGGAGAGGAAGGAGAGGGGGAGGGGAGAGGGATGGAGATGGGGAGAGGGATGGAGAGGGGAGAGGGAGAGCACAGCAGGGAGGGGAGAGGGAGAGAGGAAGGAGAGAAATGAGTGAGTGGATGAGTGAGGAGCGAGGAGCCAGGCAGGGGGAAGTGACGGTGGCCTGGGGAGGTGGCAGGTGCAGGGGCGACTGCTGCCCAGGACGTCTGCTGTTCCGGCCCCTGCGGCCCAGGAGCTGGGGCCACAGTACCTGGTTCTGTCCTGAAGTGGTGGCTGTCCTCTGGACCCCTGAAGCCGACCGGGCCACACCACAGACACCTCTCGGCTCCAGCCCAGAGAAATGAAAGCAAAAGCCGCGGGCACCTCCCTCCGGGCTTCCTGTCCTCCAGCTGCTTTCTTAGAAATCAGCCGCCCCAGGGCAGCGTGGACTTCCTCCCCGTCCAAGGTCCTCCTCCTGGCAGGTGCTTGCTGCCTGCAGAGGCAGCAGGGCCAGAGGCTGCAGCTGGAGCCGGGGCAGCCCAGCAAGCTCTGGCCACTCGTTCCCCCTGTCCATCGGGGCCCAGGGGCTGCCTGCTGGGCTGCTCAGGGAGGCCGAAGGTTTTGAGTCACCCAGTGGGCCTCAGCCAGGCGGCCTGGGTGGGAGAAGGGGAGGGGGGCCAGGTCCCCCGAGGTGCACAGGGCAGAGCACGCCAGCCATGGTGGGGAACAGCACCCCAGGCTGAGGGAACAGCCTCAGCAGAGGCCCGGAGGCGGACCTGTGCTCTCTCCCGTCCTCTGAGGCAGCTTCTGTTTCCAGCAGGCGGAGAAACGGAGGCTCAGAGAAGCCTAGTGCTGTGCAGCTGGAGTGCAGAGACAAAGCCTCCAGGCGCCCAGCAGGACACTAAGCAGGACCCCAGACCCTCAGCACGCAGTCCTGCCTGGGCAGGGCCCCAGACTCCATTCTGCCCACAGGAATGATCTCGATCCTTGTCCATCCTCAGGAGGAAAAGGAAAGTCCAGAGAGGCCACGCCGCCCTCAGGGTCAGAACTGGGATCCCAGAGTGCCTCCCGCTCGGCAGGGGGCTGTGGCCTGAGAACACAGGAACGAAAGGTCGGTGGCTGGAAGAGTGGTGTGCTGTGAGCGGGCACTCGGGTCCCAGGGAAGCGTCCCGTCCAGTGCTCTGTAGTCCTGAGGGGCGGTCAGTCAACACCAGGCACAGAGGCCAGTTCTCCATGCGTCTGTTCAGTGTAGGTGCCTGACCTAAGGTGGGACGAAGAGGAGGCTCAGAGGGCCTCTCAATGAAGGCCTGCGGGCAGCCAGTGTGTTCACTGTGCCCAGAAAGTCGAAACGAGCCGGGCCCAGGGACTTGTGCCCATTATCCCAGCTGCTCAAGAGGCTGAGGCAGGAGGAACACAAGTGCAAGGACAGCCTGGGCCACTTAGTTAGACCCCATCTCATATTTTAGAATAAATCGGCCTAGGGTGTAGCTCGGTGGTAGAGCGCCCCGGGGCAGAATGGGGAAGAGAGAGAACCGAAAAGAAAGGGCACGAGACAGAGTTCTGACGCTCCGCGTGAGCTCCTGCATCCAGCTGGGCCTGAAGCCCGCCTCCTGACTTCCTCATGACTCGCACCCTGTTTCCTTCTTCGGTCATGCTTAGCTGAACTCTGTGGCTGTTACTGCAACCCAGAGTCCTGAGCAGTGGCGATGGGCATTAGCTGGAACGGAGGGAGAGCAAGTGAGATGCAGATGAGACGTCTTGTGCGGAAAAGGCTGCTGTGAGCGCCTCTCAGGAAAGCCTGGGGGCAGCCGGAACGCAGCCTTCGCCCTGCACAAGAGGTGATTCAAGGTTGCTCTTGATAACTGGCTTTTTTTCCCTTGGGCGGGGAAAGTCCACAATATTTTTAAAATTTGGGGATGGGAGTGTGGCTCCGTGGTGGAGCCCCTACTTGCCCAGTACAGGCAGGGCTCTGGGCTCAGTCCCCGGGACCACAGAGAGGAACAAACCAAATTCCTCCCCCTGGGTGCCTGGCCACTGAGCTGCACCCCAGCCCTTTTGATTTTGAGACAGGGTCTCCCTGCGTTGCCCAGGTTGGCCTCAACTTGAGATCCTCCTGCCTCGGCCTCCGGCGGAGCTGGGATTGCGGGTGTGTGCTACCATGCCTGGCGCAGACTCTCTTTTATTTCACACCAAGACTGAGTGGAAAGTCCAGAGTTCACATTCACCCCTCACCTCCCCAACCTCCCGGCACCCGCACCCCGCACCAGTCCACACTGGAACCATTATTCTCATAGGTGCTAGGGACTGAACCCAGGGGCACCCACAGCCCATTTTATTTTTTGAGATGGGGTCTGGCTAAGTTGCTGAGGCTGGCTTTGAACCCGTGATCCTCCAGCCCACCGTCTCCCGAGCTGCTGGGATCAGAAGTGTGCCTGGCTAGGTTTTTCAAAAAAAGTTTCTAAAGTACCAATAGAGTCACTAATAAATACTGTGTGTACACAGTACGATATCACGCGCGCGTGTGCGTGTGTGTGCGCGTGTGTGTGTGTGTG